GTAATTTTTGTAACTAATTATTGTTAGTATTGAACTATGGGCATACACATAATACAGAGAATCATCTCATAAGTAATTATTGTGCTGTTTTAACGCCATGTACAACCAACCTCCTAGAGATTTTAATACCCACCTTCCCTAAGGGTAGGTTTAATATCTACCTTTCCTTAAGGATAATGTCAAAGGACAGGCACGCTCAGGTTAGAATTAATCCTTCAAAGCTTTTAACAATTTCACACCGAGATTAAGGAACGCTTATGTATTTAATTTATATTCTGAGTATACATTGGGATAGGCTGAATTGGAAGATGATCACAGTTTTGAAATCAGAAGAAACACTAATAATCTGCACTGTGCACTCTGATGATTAAAAATGTAAATGATCTGCAAGTTCTAATAAAGTTATTTAAAACAACCCAGTGAATAATGGGGCTAAGATTAAATATAAAGACCAAGATGCCAGCGGGCACAGCAGTAAGCCATAGCATTGTCATTGAAAACATTGAAGTTTGTGGATAGATTCTACGTTTTAGGATCATCTGTAAATAAAGGAGCAGTCAAGAAATACACTGCAGACCAGCACTTGGCAGGATATCCATGAAGACCTTAGAAAGGCATTCAGAGGCCAAGATGTGTCTGTATCTACAAAAATCAAAATCATGCAGACAATTGTTTCCTTGTAACCTTCTATTAAAATTAGACTTCAAAGAAGCAGGATAGACTGTGTATTGATATTTTTGAATTCTGGTGATGGAGAAGACTCCTGATAATTCCATGGATAGCTGAGAAGACAAACAGATTGTATAACAAAGCAATCCAGAGTTCTCAAAAATGACAAATTATCATGTTTGGGACGTATTATACAAAGGCCTAGCCATCAAGAAATGTGTAACGGTGCAAAAGATGGAAGAAAAAAGAAGACAACTGCAGCAGGGTGCATTTAATTACAGCAGCGTTTGATACATTGCTGGAAGAGCCAAATTGCAGACAGATCATCCTACAAAAGATATTTCTGTATAGTCAGTAAAAGTTGATACCAACTGGATGACATATAATCATTTCTTTCTAAAAAATTGTATTATTTCCCCCATTAAATTAACAAATAATGCTCGATTTCACATAGATCTCAATCTGGGTTAGATAATTACTCAGTTTTCTAAAAACAAAAAATAAAAACCACATCCTCAGCTACTACAAACACAACAGCATGTTCATGAATGCCGAGAAAGATTTGACTTCTTAGCAGTGTAGTATTAAAATGAAGGATTTCTCAATCTAGATAGGAAACCTTTTTCAAGTTTCTTAGTTTAATTAGAAATGCCTATAAAAACTGCTGACAGGAACATCATATTAGGATCCTTCATTTATCTTACAGGAGAATTTTCTAAATCAGGGGTCTTCAAACTTGGCCTTTTTATGACCTGCTTGCTTCATCTAGGAGAGAAAGGCAAGATGTGGCCCCAGAGATTTGACTGCTAAATTCAACTCTACTTCTCTAGCCAGTGAGAGATGATACTCATCTTTGTCCATAAACTACAGGAAATATATATCGGATCTAGAAACAAAATTTTATTTAAAATTATGCTATAGTCTTAATATTGCTTAATCAACAATGTTTTTCTATACTATTTATTCAGAAATAAGTTTGGCTAAATTCAATATTTACTCCCAGGTGAGCAAATATTAGATTATAACCTAAAATGTATAAGTCGGTTACTTTTACTGCAGCACTGAAGTATTGATATTTCTTCAGAAAAGTAAATACAAGTAGTCCTTGATTTACAACAGTTTATTTAGTGGCTGTTTGAAATTACAACGGTACTGAAAAAAATGACTTTTGACCGTTGCAGCATCCCCATGGTCATGTGGTTAAAATTCAGATGCTTGGCAACTGACTCATATTTATGATGGTTGGAATATCCTGCTGTCCTATGACCACCTTTTATGACTGTTTGACAAGCAAAGTCAATGGGAAAGCAGATTCACTTAACAACCATGCTACTAGCTTAACAACTGCAGTGATGTGGCAAGAAAGGTCATAACACTGGGCAAAACTCACTTAACATCTCACTTAGCAACAAATGTTGGGCTCAAATGTGGTAGTTAAGTCTAGGACTACTGTGTACTGTATATACAAATTATGGAGCAAACTATAAAGCTAGTAATTAGTAGCTTCATGCTACTCTGTGTACTACTGATACTGATTTTACCAACCAGTTACAATTTCTAATTCTAGGCATGTTGCCCACATCCATGATTAATCAATGTACATTCCTTTCATAAAAGCTTCTTCAAGCTGGCCAACTCACATTTAATTTGCATTCCTTGATAGCTTATATGTGCAATGGATAGTCTTAGCCAGTGCTTTTTTTGTCATAGAACACACCAGAACGGAGGTCCAGCATCTTTTTTTGATGGATTTTCCAAATTTTAAAAATAACTTTTGAAAATTTGATGTTTGGCCCACATGGACTTGAATTCACCCTGTTGAGGGTAGCAGGTTGGCGGCAAAATCATTAAAATGGTGCATGCAGGCCGCTTGGGTGTCGAGACCGATGCATGCATACTTCGTCCGCACTGGTTGTGATGACGCTGCTTGGCTTGTGGCACCACTTGGCTTGTGATTGGTCTTGTGGTCACGCACTGAGAGCTTACTGCAGGCGGCGACCATTATGTTTCGTTACACAACTGACATGTGTGGGTGTGTGTACAGTAATTGACTATGTGCGAAAGGTAAATTATTTTTAAAAATCATTAGTGAATTGAAAATCTTTAATTTTTTAGTGTAAATGTGTGACCCCAAATTTAAAAATGAGAAAAAAAATACTAATTACTTCTCAACCACTGGTCCTGCTAAGAACTGAACATATAATTTTTTAAATAAAAGATTAACAAGATGTGAGTTTCAGCACCTTTCTTCTTACAAAAAAAGCACTGGTCTTAGCAATTATATATGGTTAAATGGTAAATCAGTGAAAGATATCAATATATATATTGAACAATGTACCTTACAGATTAAGTGGCTTATTTTAGTGTAGATAATTACAGTGAATAGTCCACTGAATAGTCCACTGAATCAAGAAATTGACTAGAAATGCTAAAACCTGGTAATAATGGAATGGAATGGAATGGAATGGAATAGAATAGAATAGAATAGAATAGAATAGAATAGAATAGAATAGAATAGAATAGAATAGAATAGAATAGAATAGAAGTTGGAAGGGACCTTGGAGGTCTTCTAGTCCAACCCCATGTTCAGCAGGAAATCCTATATCAATCCAATCTCTTCTTAAAAACTTCCTGAAGCAAGTTGTTCCACTGATTAATTGTTCTGTCAGGAAATTTTTTGTTAGTTCTAAGTTTGATTAGTTTCCATCCATTGCTTCTTGTCCTGCCTTCAGGTGCTTTGGAAAATAGCTTGACTCCCTCTTCTTTGTGGCAGCTCCTGAGATATTGGAACACTGCTATCATGTCACCCCTCCTCCTTCTCTTCATTAAACTAGACATACCCAATTCCAGCAACTATTTCTTATATGTTTTAGCCTCCAGTCCCCTAATCATCTTTGTTGCTCTTTGTACTCTTTCTAGAGTCTCAACATCTTTTTTACATCATGGTGACCAAAACTGGATGCAGTATTCCAAATGTGGCCTTACTAAGGCATTGTAAAGTGATATTAACACTTCATGTGATCTTGATCCTATCCCTCTGTTAATGCAGCCTAGCACTGTGTTGACTTTTTTGGCAGCTGCAGCACACTGCTGGCTCATATTTAACTGATTGTCTACTAGGACTCCGAGATCCCTTTCACAGTTGCTACTATTGAGCAAGGTACCACCTATACCAGTGATGGCAAACCTTTTAGAGACCAAGTGCCCAAACTGCAACCCAAAACCCTCTTATGTATCATCGGGTGCAGAGTGGGCGTGATCCATTGGGTGGGCATGGCTGCAATGGTAACAGCAGGCTGGGTGGGACTAAAAAGTTCAATCAATCAATTCCAACTTTGCGAGATCATTTTTTTTCCCCGCAAGAAGTTGAAATTGATTGATTAAACTTTTTTTTGTATACGGCAGCAGAGGCCTAAAGTGAAAAGGTTTTATAAAACACAGCTGAAGGCCTAGGACTGGGGTGATGGTCTGCGTGCCCACAGAGAGGGCTCTACGTGCTACCTGTGGCATGCGTGCCATAGGTTCGCCACCATGGACCTATACCATTACCTGTGCATTTGGGTTTTTATGCCTAAATGTAGAACCATGTTTTTTTTCTTTTTTTTTTCTTTTTTTTTTTGTATATCAAGCAGCACCTGGCAAAAACAAATTCCTGGCAAAAATATAAATTCCTAGGTTGCTTCAACAAACTCTCCTGGCCCAAATAATACACTTCAAGGCAATTATTTTTTAAAAAAATTGTTACATTGTTGGATACAATCTATGTTTACTTAGAATTAAAGTTCATTGAATTCTGTAGTGCTCAACACACAGCTGCCAATCTATCCCCAAACAACTGCATTATCTCTTCACATCTTCTCTGCAACATGGCCTCCATTCCAATCGCAGCTGTGGATACATAATTTCAGCGAACTCAGGTCAATGGCCTGCTACCCGCCGCCCCCCCCAACGTTACATGCTACTTAGATTACATGTTCTTTGCAAACCTCACACGAATTAAAAGCAGGCTTCCCTTTATGGCACAGGCAGATTAAAGACGGGAGTTTAAGAGAATACAACTCTCTGACTGTATACCATTGCTGTCCATTCCTAATGCCAATTATTTTATTCCCGTGGCAGTTATGCACGATTAACATGGTATCAGTTGCGTGTCGGGGATCTTTTTTAACTTTTAAAATAAGCAAAATGCAAAATGCCTTACAGAACAAAAAAGAGAGGGGGGCGGTCTTCCTTGGCTACCAAGTCACCCACTGGCTTTCTGAGGCCAAGCCCTGTAACAGGGACGAGTCAATTCTTGGGAGCACCGCGGCCATCCGGCGTCGTTCACTCACCCGGCCCCCGCCATCTGAGCGCTTTCTCCGCAGCGTGAGTCCACTCCGGAGCAGCGTCGGTAGTTCCCTCAGCTTCTGCCGCAACTGCACTTGCTGCTCCTGGCCTCTGGCGTCTGTGTCTTTACGGTCATGGAGCAGCGAGTCGGCCCTGTCACACGCAGGTTGCATCTTAACGGAGCTCCCAGCCATACATACTACTTGGCGGAGAAGCCTCCTCCCAGCTGCTTCAGCGCTTATCCCCGGGCATGCACGGTGCGCACCTTTCTCTTGTTATGCAAAACACGACTGTCAGGCAAATGAATTGGCCGCAACAGCGGCAGTGGCGTCCTCCTCCTCCTTCTCTTCCTTCTCCTCCTCACGGGAATTGGGAAGGAAAAGAGAAAAAAGCCCGCACAAACATTGCTCTCAGCTTGCACGAAAATCAAATTGTGCGAGAAGGTCGATTCCCTAACCAAAATACTCAGAATAAGGCGTTTACCACTCGGGTGCAGGTAATGCGCCAAGAACCTAATATTTCTTATGGCCTCCACCTTTCCCTACTCTCGTGGCCCCTCCCCCTTTGACGCTGTTTTTTCTCAATTGCTACGACGGGAACAAACAAAAGTCAAAGGAAGGGGCTCGGAAGGAGCAGCGGTATGCTGAATATAGTACCTTGTGGCTTCTTGGTGTGCTACTCTTCATAATGCACATCTTCCCTGGAGAATTGTAAATACTATCAACAGTCAATAAACCATAGCAATAAAGGGGTAAAAGTTACAACGAGTGGGTTTTCAGACTCTTAAGTATTTAGCTATCCTTTATTAAATGAGCCACAATTAGCAGAGTTATCATATTGGCTGTTTGGTAACATCCAGGTGATTGTACAGAAATGAAAGCTAGCATGCTGGGAAAACAGCAATAAATATATATCAAATGAAAATAATTTAGCTTGGTGTTCAGGTGTGATGAGCACACTTATCAAACCAGATTGAGTATATAGATTGTGGATCATTAGGTCTACACAGGCACATTTGAAGATGCATTGGAGTAAATAAAATACTTCTCCAAACTCTTAAGAAAGGGCCATTTTTTGCAAGGAACTCTTCAGAAGCTGTTTCTGCTTATCAATGCATGTGTAAACAAAGTTACACAGACAGCAAAGATTAATGTGCTTGCAGAAATAGCAAGAACAGTTTTCAAAGCAGCTATAGCAGTATTGCAAAAGTCACTAATATTCTATAAAGTACTATTTTAAAGGATTAGAATTAATTGACAAAGAATCAAAAACTGCTGAAAGATTCAGCATGTTATTAGGCCAACACAAACAGCTATGTTACTGTGATTTGCAAAACATGACAGTTGAACACTCTATGCTGAAGCCAAACAAATCATTTTATAACATGCAGGTAGTCCTTGACTCACAACAGTTCATTTAGTGACTGTTCAAAGTTACAACGGCATTGAAAAAAGTGATTTACGACCATTTTTTACTCGACCATTGCAGCATTGCCATGATTCATATGATCAAAATTCAGACGCTTAGCAACTGGTTCATATTTATGACGGCTGCTTTGTCCCAAGGTCATGTGATCAACCTTTGCGATATTCTGACAAGCAAAGTCAATGGGGAGGCCAGATTCACTTAACAACCAGGTTATTCACTTATCAACTGCACTGATTCACTGAACAACTGTGGCAAGAAAGGTCATAAAATGGGAGAAAACTCACTTAACAAATGACTCATTTAACACCAGAAACTTGGGCTCAATTGTGGTTGTAAATTGAGGACTGTAGTGTTTTGTGTGAACTTTGTGACTATAATTACAAGACATACTGAGAAGGCCCTGGTTTCCATTTTATGGATCCCCATCCTCCATTCCTTCTAATTGATCTGCAATTTTCCTAAGCATTCCAGTCGGAATAAAATTAGTAGGCGGGAGCTTCCGGTGGGAGGCGACGGCGATGGCGGCTAGCTTTTAGCCGTCCAGCTGGGGAAGTGTCAGAGCCGCGGAGCGCAGCGCGCATCAGCTGGCCCGCGGCTCGGAAATCCCTTCCCGGGCAAAGGGAAGGGATAGAGAACGCAAGAGTAGAGGTAGAACCCCTGAACCCCCTCTGGATTTATTTCTAGAGGGGGTGAAAGGAGTGTTCCCTCGGAGCTCTTGCTGATCTCCGCCTCCCAGCTGTTTTTGCTTCCTAGGAAGCAAAAGAAACCGCCGCTTCTATCTCCGTGTTTACAGCATTTTGGTGAGTAATTTTTAAACGGACGGAGCAGTTTAAAGGATTTTTTGTTATATTTTAGGTGTTTATTTTTTTTATCTTTTGATTTTTACTATTTTTCCTCCTTTTCTTTGTTATACTAGTGAAAGGACTTAAGATGGCGTTTTGAAAGTGTCGGAGTTTTTTTTTCCTTTCTCTTTTGTTTTACTTTCCCTTTTTAAGGACTGTTTTTTGCTTTTGCTTTTGCTTTTGGCTTAGAATTTTTTCTTTTGAATTGTTTGCTCTTTTACTACTTATTCTTGGGATTTATTTTGGACTTTTAATGATTATAGTTTGTCTCTTTTTAAAAATTCTTTTTTTCTTTTTTTCCTCCTCCCTTTTTGGCTGGAGGGGAAAGGGAAGTGACAATTGTGCTTTTTAAAATGGCTTCAAAGAGGCAGCAGCCTTCCTCAATACCCAAGGTTATTTCTTCTCCTATAACTTCCACTGCACAGTTACAACAACAATCTAAACATGCACCACCGGCTCAGCCACCACCCTCCCCTCCTCTACCTGGACTTTCAGTACAAGAGGTTAGAGGCATAATGGGAGAGATTGTAGTTCAAATGAGAGAGGAAATGACTCAATTTGTTTCACAGATTAAATCAGAAATTAAATCTGATCTCAAAGAAGAGATAACGGGGATAAAGTCTAAATTGCAAGAAAATAATAATGAATTACGACAAGATATACTGGCAGCTGTTTCAGGTTTGGCTACTGTGGTGGTTAAGCTCGATGCAAGGCTTGAGGAAGTGGAAGACAAAGTTGACTCTTTAGATGACAAAATTCAAGACGTGGAAAGGAAGGTGGACTCCTCACAAGAAGATATTTTGATGTTTCAGTACAGACAGATGGAGTATGCTCTGAGGATTAGAGGCCTCAAGGAAGATATGAATCAAGATTTGATGGAGGTGGTTCTTAGTGATCTGGCGCTGGCTTTGGATATGGATAAAGGAGAATTACAGAGAGAAGTGGAAAAAATTTATAGACTCAACTCCTGGATTGCTAAGCAGAAGAATTTGCCCAGAGATGTGGTGATTTACTTTACAAAGAAGTCCCTGCGGAATGAGATTATACAAGCTTTTTACAACAAAAGATTTCAGATTGCCGCCCAAGATGTCATCATTCTAAAGGAAATCCCATCTAAAATTTTAAGAAGTAGGAAAGACTTTGCTTTTTTAACCAATGAGCTTAAAGCTAGATCGATGCCATTCAGATGGGAAATTCCGATGGGTATCGTTTTGAGCCATGCTGGGACACGTTACAGATTGAACACAGTTGACAAAGCTAGAGATTTCTATACTTCGGTCCTGAGTGCAGGCTCAACTTCATCTGGTCGGAAATCTTTGAGTGCTAAGGAACCTGAGCAGCAATCTGAGGCACTAGATTTGGTTTCCGCAGGGATGATAGAAGTGGCAAAGCAACGCCAAACAGAGGCTAAAGAGCAGAGGATGACTCGTGCAGCCTATAAGCGTAAAGAGAAAGAGCAACGTAAAAAAGAGCCCAAAGAGAATTCTCCTGGAAGTGCATCACCGCCGGTGGGAGGAGCAAGACCCAAGAGTTATGCAACACACGCAGCTCTGTCAGAGTTTGATGGTGTCTTCTCCAGGCTGCGTGCCAAGGGAGATGGCAAAGTTTTTGACCTGGAATGTTAATGGATTGAATTCTCCTCAGAAACGGAAAAAAATCTTTTATTATTTGAAGCAACATACCAATGATGTTATTTGTTTACAGGAAACTCATATTCTACTTAAAGATCAGAAATATTTAGTTAATGCTCGTTTGGGATCTCATTTTATATCTCCTGCACCTGGGAAGAAAGGGGGAGTTGTTATATATGTTAAACAAAACCTGCCAGCTTGTCTGGTAGAATCAGATCCCCAGGGGAGATATGTGATGATTGAACTTGGTATTTATGGTAAGAAAGTACTTATAGTTGGACTTTATGCTCCAAATCAACAACAGGAACAATTTTATAAACAGTTACACCAAAAAATAACTTTGCTTGATTATAGATCGGTGGTATTAATGGGTGATTGGAATGGTGTCTTAGATACACAAAGGGATAAGAAAGGTTCCTCTCCTTTTCTTAAACAAGCAAGGCTACCTAAAGCCTTTTTTGATATGAAAGAAGACTGGGAATTAAGGGACTATTGGCGGGAACGTAATCAAGAGGAGAGAGACTTTACTTTTTTTTCTGACAGACACCAATCTTTTTCAAGAATTGACTTTTTCTTGATTACCACGGATTTGTATAATAAAGTAAAGAATGTAAAGATTTTTCCTAGATCACTGACGGATCATAGTCCAGTTTGGATGGAGTTGATTCAAGAGAAAGAGGAAAGAAGATCCTGGAGAGTTAATGAAAATTTGTTTAGACAAGAGAAGAATGTTCAAAAACTAAAGGAGTGTTTAAAGGACTATTTTGCTTTGAATATGTACAAGGGGACTTCAATGTCAATGGTATGGGATGCAGGTAAAGCATTTATGCGCGGTGTTTTGATAAAAATGAATAATTTTTATAAGCGAAATCAGATTCAGAAACGTAGAGAACTTGAAGATGAAATTAAACTAAAAGAAAGGGCTTTGATTCTAAATCCTTCTGATGAAAGTATTAAAGAATCTGTAAAGTTATTAAGGTCACAATTTAATATGTTGATAGCAGATCAAGCTGCAACCAATTTATTATTTATGAAACAAAATACATTTTGTAATGCTAATAAGCCGGGGAGATGGTTGGCTTATCAATTAAGAAAGAAACAGAGACAGAGAATAATAGAGAAAATAAATTATAAGGGTAAACTAGTTTCTCAGAAGGAATTAATTAAAAAATCTTTTTTGGATTATTATCAAAACCTATACAAATCTACTAATGTACAACTGTTAGATATAAATAAATATTTAGCTGAGGCAAGTTTTCCTAAACTGACTGAGGATCAGAAATATGAAATTAATGGTTTAATTACTAAGGAGGAAATTGCCTCAGCAATTCAACAATTGAAATTAGGGAAAGCACCGGGTACGGATGGGTTAACAGCTGTTTATTATAAAGCCTTAATGGAGGAGATGATCCAACCATTAAATGATCTTTTTAATGGTATCTTACAGGGTTTAGAGATTCCTCCTTCATGGCGTAGTGCTTTTATATCATTGATTCCAAAGGAGGATCAAGATCTTACTTTACCAAAAAATTATAGGCCTATATCTCTTTTAAACGTGGATTATAAGATATTTGTAAAAATTTTGGTAAATAGGCTTATGAGGGTGGTGCATCATCTTGTGCATAAAGATCAATC